GCCGAGGCCAATTGTTTCGTCAACTTTTTCATGCGGCTTCTCCATGTTGTAGGCTGTCCACCAGACCGTCTCTTCCAGCCCTGTCCAGCAAGTGCAAACAACGCACGACGGGGGTAACGCTGGACAGGCATGCGCAATACGTGTCCCAACCACCGCAGTTGATGCAGTGAGATGAGCTCCTCGAGCGAGTGGCTTCCACGTCCCAAGACACGCTGTCTAACTTCCACATTGCTTACGTGGTGCTGCCACCACACACGGGCAATGGACCGCAGACAGCGGTGCTCGAAGACGGATAGCCTGCGCAAGTCATCTTTACGAATGGGCCAGGTCTCGCATCCGTACAACAGTACAGCACGAACAGTTGCACAATAGACCCGCCCTTTGATGGAGAGACGAATGTCGTGGCGACGCCACAAATGCCTCAGCCTAGAAAAAGCGAGGCGTGCTTTCGAGATGCGCATCGAAATCTCGTCTCCAACAGCCCCGCCAGCAGTGATGCAACTTCCCAAGTAGACAAAGCTCTCCACAACCTCCAGTGTCTCACCAGCAAGCGTGAGTGCAGGCAGAGGCACCTGCCAGTCTTGTAGGAGAGCCTTGCATTTGGATGGCGAAAAGTACATACCGTACTTTGATGCTTCAATCGTCAAGCGGTTTAATGCAAGTTGGACGACCTGTGGATCGTCACCCAGCAAGACGATATCATCAGCATAATCCAAATCAACAACTCGACTACCTGGGAGGAGCTCAACGCCAGTGTTCAGCGAATCGCTCAGAGCGTTCTTCAGGACATCCTCAATGGCAAAGTTGAATAGGAACGGAGAGATAGGGCATCCTTGTCGAACTCCACTGGAGACCACAAAGGTAGGCGAAAGCATGCTATAAGCCCTAACCCTGCCCGAGGTCAGACTGTATAGAGCGCGTCGTATGGAGACGAACTTCTCGGGAACACCGTTCCTCAGAAGGCACTGCCACAGTACTGTACGATCGACAGAATCGAAGGCTGCACGGATATCCAGGAACACAGAAATCGTTGGCCTCTGATACACATGGCGGAGCTCGAGGATCTGGCGAAGTGTGAAGATTTGATCGATGCAGCCGCGACCAGGGCGAAACCCAGCTTGTTCTTCTCGCTGCAACGATTCGCGTGTTGGGGATAGCCTGCGAAGTATGGTGGACACCAGCAGATTGCAAACGACGGGGACTAAACTTATTCCTCTGTAGTTGGAGCAGATTGTGCGCAGGCCCTTTTTGAAGATGGGTACGACTATCGATTCACCCCAAGATGATGGAACCTTCTCTTTCGACCAAATTTTCGAGAACAAAGCGGTGAGTTCTCGGACCAGCGATGCGCCACCATCTTTAAATAGAGCTGGGTGAAGACCATCAGGGCCGGGAGCTTTATAACGCTTCATGTGCCGGAGCTCCTGCTCGCAATAGGTGCGGTGCAGAGACTGGGACGGGTCCAGCATGTGGCTACCGGGCCCATCCTCAGTTTACGGAGTATGTTGTACGAGAACCGATGTAGGAGACCAGGGCTTTATCCCTTGTCATATCGCCGGCTTCGAATTGATCTCATAATGACGCAGCGGACACTGCGCCTGGGCCAATTCCCTATGATGAGGCCGCTGCTGGATGTTCGCGCACCAAGCAGCACACACTGACATCGGTAAAAAACTGGTGGTACCGGATATGAAGCGCATCGCCCACCCTCTATGCTTCGAGCGTTGAGTAGTGAAATATTACAAGTTTCCGGAGACGCTAGTCGATGCAAAACTGGTGTCGGAGTTTAAGAGGTTCCTCGATGCTCACTTTACGGATTACAGGTATAGGGAGCGCATCGCACCCGGATAAGATGTAGCGCAGCTGCACTATGCTGACACCGCGCAGGAATCAGCCACGTGATTCCGCGCATGTGCCCGATCCACCAACAATGGAGCAACATAGATTTTTATCTTCTCGCTCTTTATTCTAAGTATTCAAAGAGAACTCCTTATGTTGGCGGCGTTCGGTGTAGCATTCCATTTGTTCCGCTTTATCCGCTCACCTTTAGATGAGACAAAGCCCTCGAGTCAAACGCCAATGCATCATGTGAGACTTACACTCTTTCTATAAGTTGTCAGGGTCCCATAAATGTGTAGAAAAAGTTGTATTCCTCTCCGACACCAAGATTCCAATCGTCGCAATGTTGTCATCAAACCAAACGGACCGTTTGGAGTTGGTGCGCCCGATCATATCCTAGGTCGTAATGGTTACCTGTGGCGTCAAAGCTCAGTGACTGAAGCAAAGGACTGGACACTGCCAAAGCAAGTATCCAACACATTCCCTAGCTCAAAACTCTTCACAACCGCATCTAAATAAAACAGCAAAATTCCACCTATTCGCGACAAGCAAAGTAGACATGCATTTATGAAGGTAGGTACACAACTTAGTGCGCAGTAAGTTATAAATAAATAAACAAATTTGTATATTTACCGACAGACGGTATACGGCACCATAAGTGGGAGCGATCATTTAGTTGTTATCGATTCTATACTCAGCTCCATGCAGTGCACGTATCAAGCGCATTCCACGCATGCCAGGTTGGCGTACGCTGGAAGAGTCGAGTAGGTGATCGTGACCGATCATGGGTGCCTCCAGGTAGCAATCTTACATGCACTCAATGCGAACGGCGTGTTGGTGATCGTCATGCCGGGAGTGACGCACAGTGAAAGCAGCGGTTAGTGTTCCAAGTTGCGGAGCCAATGCTATGCGGGTCGATGTCGTCTGTCCATACTACCGCATCACACGCAACGTGCGTGTTGAAATTACTAGTAGATCGCTTCCCGCCCCGGAAGGTATCACAGAGGATGAGTGAGAGCAAAACTGATCTTTTGTGCCATGAGAATAAACCATACCTGCTGATAAAAGCTGCAAACATACCTCGTCCGAGACGTAGGCGAAGTGTCATCAATCTTGGACCAATGTCAGTCGGCCATTTTGGCGGTCGGACAGTGCAAACTTGATCCCATACTCACGTGGTGCTGTGGTGGCGTTACACACCCTACAGAACGTGCAACAAGCTTCATCCTCGTGCAGCTTGCTTCGGTCACCCAACTAAGTCTCGCTGAGTGCGGTAATATCAATGCCGTAACGACCGAGTTCTATGGCGACCAGTATAGTGAGTTCATTTTTAACTTGCACATGTTACAGTATCTGATGTTGAGCAATTTCCACAGAGACGTACGATTGCGCCGGGTAGTTGCTGGGGTGCTGAGTCACGGTGGTGGCTGGAGAATGTAGACTAGGGCGCCGCGGAAGCGCAGCCGTACGTGCTTTCAATCTTAGCGCCCAGCAGCCATAGCTATGGCTTGTGATGACGAGTTCTTAACACATGCATGACCAATTGCGCTTTTGGTATTGCCATACACTCATGGCCTAGACGCAAACGTTGAAAGTAGGTACGGATATGCTATTGTTTTAGTTAGAGCCATGGCGCCTCCGCAACACATTTGTGCCGAGAAATTAGGCTGAGCACCAAAGTCATACTCCAGTTCAGGGGTAAGCGTCCAGCTACAAACATGGCAAGCAAAAGTACGAGTACTTTTATCTCACATCGGCCGTCGCACAACGAGAGAAATGATCAGGTTATCTTCTGTGTACAGCTGAGTGAGTAAGCGAGGATATGCGACAGATGGCGATCCCACATTTTTACCCCTTATCCTCACTATATTCTCTCTCTCAGTTCCCATTCAAATGACCCATACAACTCGCTCCAACCCCAAATAATACCCCAACTCTCTACCTCATTGATAGCCAGGTGCAACCGTGTGTTTCGGTACAAAGCACTAAAATCTGGATGTTGGGACGTGAGTGCACTAGTGAATCGGAGGATGAATGATCACCTCATGCAATGTACTGCATTAACCGATGTGAAACTTTGTCGTCCAAGCACTGACATTGCCATACTCAGTGCACCGCGGCTGGCTGCACCTACAAATGGGTGGGAAACACCGCCACAGCACCACGTGAACATGATTGCAGACTTGTAATATACGACTGCCATGATGGACAATGTATGGAAGAGCAGACTGACATCAGCTCCAGGCTGATGACGCTTCGTAGAAGCTTCGGATGCAGTGCGCCTGTGATGTTTATTATCATGTATAATCCTATGATGAGTTATTGTAAAGACACGGGACCAGTTTCACTCTCAGATGTTCTCCGGGATACCGTCCGGGGAGAGTAGCGACCGGTTATTTCTACAGGGGTGATGCAGAAGTGTGGGCAGACATTGTCGATCCGCACGGCATTGACTCAGCAACTGGGAATGGTGAGTGGCTGCTCTCACTGCGCGTCACTCACGGCATGACGACCACAAAAACGCCGTTCGCACTGGGTGCATGTGAGACTGCTGCCTGGACGCACCCATGATCGCTCACCTACTCGATTCTGTCACCGTACGATAGCGTGACGCCTGAAATGGGTATGACACGTGTATTGCGTGGAGCTGTGTGTGGCACTGATCACAAGTTAGTGCGTACCAAATTGCATATATTTTCGTAAATCGATGTAGTGGGTCTATTTCGTGACCCGGTGAAATCGCAAAGTTTGTTTTTAGTTGCTGTTGAGAACAGACACGGTATGGAGAACACGGCGACCCACCTTGGCGTTCATGATAACAAAATCGTGGCACATGCAGCCCTCGAGTAAAATACAATTTGACATACTTGAGTTAAATAAGCCTGGAGCGCTCAAGTAGGAGCTGGGTTGAGCTACAACTGAGCAACATGGTTCGAATTGCTCGGCATGTTAAACAATGAAAAGCGATGAAGAAACCAGAAAGTTTTTGATTCGAACACATCTGGAGTGTTATTAGACGGAGGAGCGAAAATGAAAATGTGATGATGGGAACTTTAGGTTTACGCACAAGCAATCATGTGAAAGGAGCACATAATGACGTGACCAAAGAAAAATAACTGTCAAGTCAAGTGTAATAAAAAAGAGAAGCGCAATATACTCACAAGTGGGAATAACTTCGTAGTGACAGCGATTGGATGGATCCATTTGCCTGAAACAGGTAACATGTGAAGTGATCGCCACAAGCACAGCAAACGTGAGTAGAGGTAAAAACGAAGGGTACAGAACGCCAGCAAACTCCGATGGAAACGATGGTCTATCATGAGTAATGGAGCTTGTCAGGTATTATAGATAAGTCGATAATTCGAAAAAATAGTGATGTCAACGAAATAAAACAAGCGCCCGTAAATTTACTAGGAAGTTCAACGGAGCATACCGATTGGTTCTGTCAAGTTTCGATGAGTAAAAAAGAATGTAATGCAAAGGGATCCAAGCGTTACCGTGACATTTCACATAGACATGAAAGAACTAAGGCACGACGGTAGGGCGGTCAAAGGGTGGCACACACAAAAATAGGGAATTGTGATAAAATCCCAACCGGCAATATTACGTAGCCAAATGCATCTGTAAGGTTCTTAACATAGTTCCGCGTTGAAGTCTTAGGAAGTGGCGGCATATGTGCTAAGGATCAGACAAAGTGACAGTATACAGTCACGAAGGGACTGTAGTTGTCCAATGCAGACCACCAGTTCGTTAGAGAGAAGGAACAATCCCCAAAGTTTCCGTGTTCCATTTATTCGGGAATTTCGAGCGTCAAAATCACGCATTCCCCAGGGGTGTAAGGCGTGGATGGTGTAAATAAAGGTAGGGGCAAGTCAATGATAGCGCTTTTTGGATGGAGTCAGCTGATGAGAAAACTTCGGCTTGGAGCTAGTGAAAAAGGACAAGTATCAGCATTTGGGAGATTCTCGTAGCATGGAAACTTCTTCGGAGTTGCTTCTCAAAGACGCTTGAACGAACGTGTGTTCTAAGCGCTCATCTGTGAACAAGTTGTTTTGCCACCGTTCTCAGTTGCATTTCGTCACACAAACGTGTGTTCACACTCATTCGACCCACATTCATCTGTGCTATCTAGTGCACTTCATCTTTCGGATCAAATTTGTGCGGATCACCTTTTATCTCGAAATTGCGGTTTTGCACTGTTCGCGCAAAAACAAAAAGCGAGGAATTTTCCGAAACACGAATCACACAGAAATGTTTGCAGTCTCAAATGAAAGCAGACTGCACGTTTCCTCTGAAGAATAAGCAACCGATCTGCAAATTACCTATCGTACACTTTGTGTCCGTCTCGCTCAGTCGCTCTGTTTGTCGCGTGAATGATTTAGCCGTTTAAACCTGCCCACGAACCGGGTCAGACGCACAGAAGATCACGACCTTGATAATGCAGACAATTCAGCGTAAACGCGACCGGCAGGAAAGCATGCGCTCGGGCCTCTAGTGGAATACCATCGATCGACGCAATGGATCGTGGCGACTAATCAAAAGCCCAGGTTACCGCATCCAGATCAACAGTAGTTCGTGACCTTCCTTCGTGCCATAAAAATGTACGGACTGGAATCCAATGTAGCAGTTGACAATGCAAGTTCCATCGCAAATGTTCCAAGCTCACAGTGCGCCAGTTGAAGCTACAAAATAATAAACCAAATTCACTGTGGTTCTGTTCAGTATGTATAGTCATCCCACTGGTAAAGGTTGTATATGAACAATCGCAGAAGTACGAAAGACTAGTGACAATGTTTGAACAATTGAGGAAGACTAAAAGCGATTCAATTGTAGGAAACGTGAAGGGAGAGTAAATCCCAGTCATTCCCATCAGGCACGTTTGCTTTCCAACCATAAGGTCACCGGTTCGAATCCGCGGAGGGGTGGGCGTCCTCGCGGTATACTCAGCCCACGCGCGACTGGTGGTGGTCGCGCGGCAGCGAAGCGCCGTTACGGCGTATAAGCTGACACTTTTAGGCTGGCTTGCCGAACAACCTCCTCGTGGTGCCAGCTGGGTGGTTCGGGTTTTTCCCGTTCCAGCGAATGGTTCGGCGGCAGTGTTCCAGGACGTGGTGGGTTTTCGCCTGGCAAGCGTTCTCCCTATAAAAAGCCGCATATGTCCGTTTAACAACACTGCGACGTGGCGGATGTGACTCGCCACTAAATAAAGTCACTGCCCCTTGCCCCTCCCTGAGAGGCATTGTACTTTAAGGGTGAGTTGGGCCCCTGGTCCTTCACGGACCGAAAGGCGTATGAACCATCTACTTGGTCACCGGCTCCCAACGGGTTGCGACGCCCTCACATCGCCCTGCTGCCTTGTGGGTTAGATCTTTGATCAAAGGCTCGGGGTAGGGCCCCCTAAGACAACCCTCTACTTCGGCCTGGGCAACCGGGTAGTATCACGCCCGCTGACGAATCATGGACTACACCGCTCACTACTACTACTGCTATGCCGCTCTTCTGTCTCAACTCAACCGCTCAACGTCCACTCACAGACCACCCCACCTCCCGTCCTTCATCTACACGTACTCTTATGTCTTCTACGGTCACCGTCACAAACGACCCACGTCTCGCAGCTGATGGAAGTAACAGCCAAACTCCCGGTTCTCAATGTCCTGCGATCGCAACCGCCTCTCACTCCACCGAAGCTCCAGCTCTTCTCCGACCTGGTTCTCCATTCATCCTCGCAGCGTTTAATGTTCGAACTTTGATGCAGATCGGACGACAAACATGTCTGGCCCGTACTCTTGAAACGCTATCGGTAGACATCTGTTGTCTTTCAGAGACCAGATTACAAGACTCTAGCGCCGTCATCAGAATGGCCTCTCCGGTAAACTCTGACGCCAAATACTACTTGCGGCTTTCCGGAGACCCAGAATCTGCCGCCACTGGTCAAGCTGGTGTTGGGGTTATATTAAGTGCCAGGGCTGAATCAGCTCTGCTTGACTGGATCCCAGTCAACAGCCGACTATGTGCAGTCAGACTAAGAGGTTCATGTAACGTAAGCAGGCGTCGAGACATTAAGCGTGCCTTATTTGTCGTTTCCGCCTACGCCCCTACAGACTGCAGCCCGGATGCAGTTAAAGATAGCTTCTACCAACAAATTCATGAACTTCTGCGTTCCTCCAAACGGACGGATATAGTCATTCTTGCCGGGGACTTTAACGCACGGGTTGCCGCCTTCTACCAAGCGAGCACCACATTGGGGGTAGTTTTGGTCTCGGTGGCAGTCGATCAGACAATGGAGACAGACTACTTGCTCTTTGCTCTGATCATCGCTTGTTTCTTTCGAGCACTAGTTTTCGACACTCGAGGAGACACACTGCTACCTGGCGCCCGCCCTCACAAACGCAAGAGTGCTCCCAGCTTGACCACATAGCAATCAGCTACAGATGGCGCGGAAGCGTAATGGACTGCCGATCGTAATGGTCAACTTTTCTGGACTCTGATCACGCATTGGTTCGTGCTAAGATTTGCATGCGTTTCGGAGGATCACCTAAGCGCGCCCACTACCAACCGGACGTCGCAAATCTACAAAACGCTGCGGTTTTAACCAGGTACCAAGCCTCACTGTCAACTTTGCTTGGCTCAACTATTGACGGTGATCTCGATTCGCAGTGGGCGCATATCAAAGATGCGTTAGTTTCCGCCAGTATCGACACTTGTGGAGTTACCCGTCACCCACCGAAACATTGGATTTCCGCCGGCTCCTTGTCGCTGATGGACAAACGCCGCTTGATCCCATCGGATTCGAGACACGTTGAAGAACGCCAATACCTTGGTCGAGAGTTGCGCAGGAGTCTGCAAATGGACCGCGAAGCTTGGTGGTGTGAACGTGCTAGGCAGATGGAGCTTGCTAGTCTCTCTGGTAATACCAGGAAACTCTTCCATCTCCTTCGAGTCACCGAAGGTGCTCCATCTCGTATAAATGAAACAATATGCGAAGAGGATGGCACCTTAATCACCATCTTCAACGACGGTTGGAGCGATGGGCCGAACATTTTGGCTCGCAGTTTTGTTGGCCCCCAGCTCCATCTGCTACTTCTGGCGTTCGCGCTGGGGCCAAGTGGTCTACCTCAACAGACCCTCCCTCTTCCCAGGAAATCGAGCAGGAGCTCCGGCACCTGAAGCGTTATAAAGCTCCCGGCCCTGATGGTCTTCACCCAGCTCTATTTAAAGATGGTGGCGCATCGCTGGTCCGAGAACTCACCGCTTTGTTCTCGAAAATTTGGTCGAATGAGAAGGTTCCATCATCTTGGGGTGAATCGATAGTCGTACCCATCTTCAAAAAGGGCCTGCGCACAATCTGCTCCAACTACAGAGGAATAAGTTTAGTCCCCGTCGTTTACAAGCTGCTGGTGTCCACCATACTTCGCAGGCTATCCCCAACACGCGAATCGTTGCAGCGAGAAGAACAAGCTGGGTTTCGCCCTGGTCGCGGCTGCATCGATCAAATCTTCACACTTCGCCAGATCCTCGAGCTCCGCCATGTGTATCAGAGGCCAACGATTTCTGTGTTTCTGGATATCCGTGCAGCCTTCGATTCTGTCGATCGTACAGTACTGTGGCAGTGCCTTCTGAGGAACGGTGTCCCCGAGAAGTTCGTCTCCATACGACGCGCTCTATACAGTCTGACCTCGGGCAGGGTTAGGGCTTATAGCATGCTTTCGCCTACCTTTGTGGTCTCCAGTGGAGTTCGACAAGGATGCCCTATCTCTCCGTTCCTATTCAACTTTGCCATTAAGGATGTACTGAAAAACGATCTGGGCGATTCGCTGAACACTGGCTTTGAGCTCCTCCCAGTCGAGTTGTTGATTTGGATTATGCTGATGATATTGTCTTGCTGGGTGACGATCCACACGTCCTCCAACTTCCATTAAACAGCTTGGCGATTGGAGCATCAAAGTACGATATGTACTTTTCGCCATCCAAATGCAAGGCTCTCTTCCAAGACTGGCAGGTGCCTCTGCCTGCACTCACGCTTGCTGGTGAGACACTGGAGGTTGTGGAGAGCTTTGTCTACTTGGGAAGTTGCATCACTGCTGGCGGGGCTGTTGGAGACGAGATTTCGATGCGCATCTCGAAAGCACGCCTCGCTTTTTCTAGGCTGAGGCATTTGTGGCGTCGCCACGACATTCGTCTCTCCATCAAAGGGCGGGTCTATTGTGC